TTATCGTGTGCCTGTACGTCCCCATCCACTGAAACAGACACGAGGGTAAAGCCCGCAGTACCACCTCTATAGGCTTCACCTTGCCCCAGGCGGGCAGGGCGTGATTTCAGTGTCTCCTTGACCTACTTACCCAACGGCAACGATGTACAACTGCCTGTCCCCTGACGCTGAGAGCCTACAAGGAAAAGATGGGCTGGGACCTCCCAAAGCAACCATCTCAGAGTTCACGATGACGGTCACACGACAAGAGGATGTCTCCCTGATGAGGGTCCTCAGCCCTGAATCTGAATTACCACAGGGGGGCGGGCAGAGCTGGATGGGAATTCCATGGTGGGGGAAGGGCCTTCTTGCTGATGTAGGTCTCCTTCAGAAAGTTCTAGTTCTCACGGCGTCCGCCAGACCTCATTACACTCCCCTGCAGCTCTGGGCTCCAGCCTGGTTCTCCTCTTCCTTTAGGTTACTGTGAACCCCGGGGGCGGCAGAGGGCTGAGGCAGTCCTGGGAGGTAACAGGATGGAGGAATAGTTGCGAAAGCCAATGCTGAGAACAGAAATCCAATCGGGTGTTTGGCTGAACTGACAGCTCATCTCACTCCTTGCTGGGGCCCTTTTTAGAAACAGCCTAAGCCCCTGACAGCCTCTGACCTCCCAGGGGTGAACACTGCCCTTGGACTTCTAGCTCAGCCACCGCCTAGAAGTCTCAGCAATGGCACCGACTTTAAGGAGGATTAAATTGTTGGCGGTGAAGAAAAGAGGTGATGCAGGAAGGGAGAGAATTCCAACGCAGTTACTCTAGTCCAGTGGTCGGCAAACTGAAGCTCGCGAGCCACATGGGGCTCTTTGGCCCCTTGAGTGTGGCTCTTCCACAAAATACCGACTTCTGTGCATGGGCCACGAAGTTTCAAGCGCACTGTACGTGCGCGCCCGCACGTGGTATTTTGTGGAAGAGCCACACTCAAGGGGCCAAAGAGCCGCATGTGGCTCGCGAGCCGCGGCTTGCCGACCACTGCTCGAGTGCAGGTCTATCCACCTATGAAATGTATTTACAACGTACCGTCCACCTCACGTCTGAGCCAGCCCAGCGGACGATTCCAGTGAGTGGGCAGATGTGGGCTCTGCTGGCTGGGACCACTTCTCTGTGTCACGGGGCACCCTTCTCTCCCCTCAGACGCCTGTGGGTCAAGCCTGCTCAGGTGCTCAAACCCTAGTCTGCACATCCGAAGGCCACTGCCCGACTCCATCACCCACCAGGAGACTTACGCAGGTTACTCCTGAGCCTGAGAATGTTCAAGAAATAAGTGGCTTTTCCATATCAGGTGAAACCAGCCATGGCCCTCCCTGGCCGCGCTGCCCACAAGGACTGAACTAGCGTCGAACCGTCAGGATCATTCACTGGGTTCTCCTGAGGACTTGGATGATTTTCACATTTCTCGGGCGCCTGGAGAGCTGGAAGAGAGGCCAGGGAAAGCCTCTGTCCGTTTCCTTACAGCCTGAGCGCTTCATTCCTCCACCCTACCTTGCCACGCCAGTTTTCTACCTGCTTGAAACGGTTAAGTTGTAGTTCATTACTAAGTCCTCGGCGTTTTCACTTAAATTCTGACATTTTGATTTTCTTCTGGTTATTGTATCCTTTTTGTTTGTTTGTTTTTGTTTATCCTCATCTGAGGATATTTTTCCATTGATTTTTAGGGAGGGTGAAAGGGAGGAGGAGACAGAGAGAAACATCGATGTCAGAGAAACACATCGATTGGTTGCTTCCTGCAGGAGCCCCGATCAGGGCCCGGGCTGGGGAGGAGCCTGCAACCGAGGTACATGCCCTTGACCAGAATCAAACCCGGGACCTTTCGATCCACAGTCCGATGCTCTATCCACTGAGCCAAACCAGCTAGGGCTGTCCTATCCTTTTTTAACTTTCAAATGTTCGCCAGCACTGCTCAGCTCAGCTGTGCACAGGGAGAAGAACGCCATGTAACAACGGAGGCAGAGAATGGAGTGCTGTGTCCACACACCAGGAAGGCCAAGGGCCGCCCGCACCCACCAGAAACTAGAAGAGGCCTGGGACCGATCCCACCTGAGAGCTTCTGGAAGGACCAGCCCTGCTGGCACCTCGGTGGAGGACTTCTGGGCCCTGGAACGGCGAGAGGATCAAACGGCGTTGCTTTAAGCCATCTCGTTTGTGGTGACTTGTTGAGGCTGTCCTAGGAAACGAATGTGCTAATCTTTACAAAAGACAATAGAAAAGTTATGTTCTCAAGTCACCCTGTTTGGCCAGAAGAGTTCTGGTCTGGGAGCCCTGGTTCCCCCCTGGCATGAGCGGCAGGGGGAGCAGCCAGGGAGAGATTAATCCTCGGCCGCACAGGAAGCCCGCCTTCCTGTCAACAGAGCCCAACGTGAGAAGCCCAGGACCTTGGGCCAGAGGGCTGTCTGCCTGGCCCGTCACAAGGCTCAGATGGAGAAAGTATTTCCATTCATGGGAGAAAGAGCTTGCAGGGCTCACCACACTCTGTTGCCTCTGGTCCCTGAGGCCCCTCTTTCTCAGGAAGAGAGCGTGCAGGTGGGGACAGCCCCTGAGAATGCCCAGGCCCTCCCCCACCTCCCACATATCAGTTTCCCCACTAACCCACCCGCCACCAAAAGCACAAGTTCCCAAGCTTTTGGCAACCCATTTTCCTTTGGCGATCTGGTAAATGGTATGGTTTAACTCCTTCCCCAAAAAGAAATCCCTACGTGGAAAACTTGGGGTGACATTTCGAGGCATGATGAATGCCTAAGGCCCATTTATTGAAGAACAAAGATTTATGAATTGCCTACTATGTAACGAGCACTGTGCTACGAGCTAAGAATATAAAGGGGAAGAATAGATAAGGCACTTCTCTCCCTGAGGCCCAGAGCTGGGATCGAGGTGTACGAATTTCCTGCGGCGGCCGTGACAAATGACCACAAGCTAGGCGGCTTAAAATGACAAATTTAGTCTCTCCCAGCTCGGGAGGTGAGAAGGCTGAAGTCCCCATGTCTCCAGATTGGTTCCTTCTGGAAGTTCAGAGGGAGACTCTGATCCAAGCCTCGCTCCCAGCTCCCCGTGGTGGCCGGCAGCCCCTGGTGTTCTTGGCTTGTAGGGGCACCGCTGCAATCTCTGCCTCCATCTTCCCATCCCCACCTCCGTGTGTCTCTCAGTGTCCTCTCTTCTTATAAAGACACTAGTCATTGGATTTAGGACCCGTCCTCAGGCCTGTATGACGTCGTCAAAATCCTGACATACATTTGCAAAGACTCTGTTGTCACAGAAGGCCACGTTCTGAGGTTCCGGGTGGACATGAATGTGGGGCGGACGTTGTTCAACCCGACGCAGGTGTTCAGGTGATTCGACGATCGCCATGGAGAGCTGCAGGGGCGATGGCAGAGCTCACCTGGGGCATCCAAGCAGCTTTCCTGAGGACCGCGTGTGGAATTGGAACCCAACGGTGAGCAGAAACGAATTCAACAGAGGAAGTGGGAAGGGCACCAGGGGGAACTAATCTCATAGGTGAGGACAGCTGCCAGCCAGAGGGGCCTGCAGACCAGCGTGGAGCACGCGCTGGCCTCGGAAGCTGCTGGGCGGAGTTGGGTTTTATCCTTAGGGACACAAGGTCACTCTGAAGGACTGGAAGCAGAGGAGTGTTTCTAGAGAGGTCACCTTGGCTGAGATGAGGAGGATGGACCGGAAAGGTGAGAGCACACGCGGGACCCCAAGGGTCCACACCTCAGGGGGCAGCTCCCGGCCACGAAGGTGCTGCCTGACTCCAGTCACCCGCCAGGAGACTTACGCAGGTTACTCTGGCTGAAGCTCTGTGGAGATGCCCCCGCGTTGTCCCACCAGCGAGCTGGAGCGGCCCCACGGAGCAGGATGGAGGAGCAACCCAGGGCAGACGGGATGTGAGCCGGCCAGTCGGATCAAGGTCAGCCCGAGGAGAAGGCCCAAAGGGTTAAAAGCTGATACTTGAATTCTAGCGATGTGGGGAGGGGCTAGGCATTTGGACAAAAAACTTATGAACACTTCTATCCGCTCAGTGCAGACCCTCTGGGGTACGTGTGCCTACTAAGTAGTCACCTCGTAAGTCAGTCCCCTTACCTTCTCTGCCTCCCTGATTCTGGTTTTCGAAGGTCACCTTCTCCCTCAAGCCCCCAGGCTGGGTTCCAACCCCTCCCCAGGAACTCCAGACTCACGTACTAGATCCTAATCCTTACTTTCCACTGAACCTGTCTCCACGTCCAGACAATAAGTACCTCGAAGGCCAGGGTTTTTATCTTGTTCCCCTTGGTATTCTGATTTCCTCACACACACAGATTCTGAATGTTATCAGATGGATGGATAGATGGATGGATGGATTTCTCCATGAAGCTGTACTGGCTTCATACCACATTAATCAATCGCATAACTAAATCAACATGGACCCATTAGTTGCTCTTTAAATGCTTTATGCTGTCCCCTCCCCCCAAAAGAGGCAAGTAACACATCCAAAAAGAAGTGGACTGCTTGGCCAGTGTGGCTCAGTGGTTGAGCGTCGACTTATAGGCTAGGAAGTCATGGTTTGAATCCCGGTCAGGGCACATGCCCGGGTTGCAGGCTCCATCCCCAGTGGGGGGCAGGCAGGAGGCAGCCTATAGGATTCTCTCTCATCATTGATGTCTTTATCTCTCTCTCCCTCTCTGAAATAAATTTTAAAAAATATATATATATATATATATATTTTTTATACATATACTAGAGGCCCGGTGCACGAATCCCAGTGGGGTCCCTCGGCCTGGCCTGTGCCCTCTTGCAACCTGGGACCCCTGGGGGGATGTCGGATAGCCAGTTTCAGCCCGATCCCCACAGGCCAGATCCAGACAGGACGGAGCCTGATCCTGTGTGTTGAGCATCTGTCCCCTGGTGGTCAGTGCATGTCATAGCGACTGGTTGACCAGTCATTCGGTCGCTTAGGCTTTTATATAGAGAGAGTAGGACTTAGCATCCTCAACTCACCTCATTCCCTCGGCGGCCATCTGATCAAGGTTGGCAGTGTCCTTTGTTTCTGCCCAGTTTGCTCCCAGGTCACCCCACCCCATGTCATCTGCCAAAATGATCACGAAATTTGGTTTTGGGGCTCTTGTCTCCCCACTGAAGCAAAAATCCACAAGAGGATAAAGACATCCCAAGAAACTCACCCCCACCAATAAAACCTTTAGAAAAAGCCAGGCCATGGTGGGAAGGGGCGGGTTCCGGTTCTATGGAATGATGGCGGGCCACCACGAGAGGCGTCTCTGAGTCCCCTTCTGCTCACTCTCAGCGCAGGGAGTCTCCGGAGGTTGGTGTTTTGCAAGAAGATACTGCAACACCCTCACTGTAAAGATGGGAATGCTGAGGCCCACCCAGCGTTCTGGTGGGGATGGTGGTGGTGGTGGTGCCTACGTGGAGGGTGGGAGCTGCAGAAATGAGGCCCCCATCTAGAATCCTAACTCAAGAGAGTCAGGAAAGCTGCACCCCCAAATGTGGCTTTCCCCGAAGATGACCGGCTGTGTGCAGCTTTGGCCGATTAGAAAGTGACCCCTCTGTGCCCAGGGATGTCAGAGCCGAAGCACAAGTCTCGCATCTGGTCGGGACTCCAGCTGCTGAGTGCGGGGCACAATCTCACATCTGCAGAACACCTGGACGTTCCAGAAGCCGCCGTCGGTCCCCAATGAGTTTCTGAGTTCCAGGTGGCTGAGGGCTTCATGTTTCTGTGAGGTTTCCTGAAAGAACAAAAATCGACAAGAAAACAGAGTGAAAAGTGCCAGCGCAGCTGTGTTTTACTCAGTAGCCTAGGAAATAATCGCTTTTCCATGCCAGCACATGTTTTCCTTATTATTCGAATATTTCACTGGCTCATCAGTTTCTCCACCTGAGAAACAGTGATGATAATATTTACAACGAGCCTATAATCACAGGGGTGGGAGCAACATCAGAGATGACCTCTCTCAACCCACTCACTGTATACATGAGAATGCCGAGGCCCAGTGTTTGGATGGGGCAAGGACCAGCACGCCACTCGGCATGATCCCAGGACTGCCACCCACCAGGCTTCTCTGATTCACAAGAAATCCCCACACTGACTGTGACGTTATCAAACCCACCGAGGAATCTAGAAGAAAGGGTATGACCCTGATATGACCTTTTCTAACAGTTGTGCTGCAAACAATCCCATACAAAATTCTTGACAGATGCCCGGCCAGGGTGGCTCAGTTGGTTGAGTGTCACCCTGTGCACCAAGAGGCTGCTGGTTTGATTCCCGGTCAGGGCACATGCCAGGGCTGCGGGCTCGATCCCCAATAGGGGGCGTGCAGGAGGCAGCCGTTAGATGTTTCTCTCTCATCGATGTTTCTACCTTTCTCTCCCTTTCCCTTGCTCTGTCTCTAAAATCAATAAAAACGTATTTTTGAAAATCTTGACTGAAATTAATTGGGAGAAAAAGGAACTGTAAAGAAATAAGTTCATGGTAGAATCTAAGTGGAGATACTATGGGAGCTCATTGTAGACTCTTTTAATTTTGCAGTATCTTTTTAAATTGTTTCATAATAAAATGGTAGAAATTTTTTTTTCTTAATGAAACTGTCCATTTACATCTTGACAATGTCATTTTTAATAAGAAAATCTAACGATATATACTCAACCTGTGCTTCTCACACTTTAATGTACATACAAATTACCTGGGGAGTTCAAAATGCAGCTTCAGTCAGCCAATGTGGCTCAGTGGTTGAGTATCGATCTATGAACCGGGTGGTCAATGGTTCAATTCCCGGTCAGGGCACATGCCCAGGTTGCAGGCTCAGTCCCTAGTGAGGGGTGTGCAGGAGGCAGCCAATCAATGATGCTCTCTCATCATTGATGTTTCTCTCTCTCTCCCCCTTTCCCTTCCTCTCTTGAAATCAATAAAAAATATTTTTTAAAAAAATAAAATAAAGCAGGTTCAGGAGGTCAGGCCGTGGCCTGGGTTCCGTTCTTTGATCAAGCTTCTGCTGGGCTGAGTCACACCTTCATCAGCAAGATGCCCAGGAAAGAACGCCCTGAAGCAGGTCCCGGAAGAAAACTAGCCCAACTGGGGAAGAGTCGGCTCCCGGGGACAAACACAAACACGTCCGGGTCCGAAAGACAGGAGTGGAAGGTGATGCGTTCCACACGGGTTGCAAATGGAAACCATAAGACAAAACCCCATCACCCCGAGTTCACTTAAAAGCCGGAACTTTACGAAGTTAGTAAGGAGAGAGAGACTTGAATTCTGGACCAAGTAAAAAGCTCAGTGGGACACCCAACCTCCGGAGAAGATGAAAGGAGAGCTGAATTTAACATGGCCGATGCGATCCTGCCTTGGGAAGGAGCGCACAGCTGGCGAAGCCGACCCGTGGCCGACGCGAGTGGATGGGGCTAGCAGGAGCTGTGTCCACGCTGGGAGACCTGGGTAAACTCAGAGGGATGGGCAGATACAGACTCAACCGTCACAAGGAAGCCCAAGGAAACAGGCAGGGCCTCTGGAGGTCAATGAATCTATTGTGTAGAAATGCAAATGTCTGTTTCCCAAAAGGAGAGTTATTATTCCAAAGCCAATTGGATCCCACTGGTATTTGTTGATCTTGGGGCCCCAAGGACGTCTCCCTTTCTGGGACAGCGAGCCCTGGCACCAGGAGAGCGCCCAGCACACTCTCGTGGGCCCGCTGGTTGACTCCCAGCCTCCACGCCACTGGCTTCTGACCACGAGCAACAACCACAGGGGGCTTTCCTGCTTGAAGCTACTTAGCTTGGAACGCCGGCGTGGCCTCATTCCTGGTCGATAATCCATTTCAGAAGGACCCCACGCAGAACGACTTAAAAAAAATATATTCGCTTAAGAAAGAAGCTAAAATGAAGGTGGAAACATAGATGGTTTTTGCTTAATTGTTCCACGATAAAACATTCCTTTGAGGATTTTCAAAGAGAATCACGAAATACTTAACATTTTTGTAGAATGGAAATAAGCCAATGTAGCCAGCGCTCCGTTGCACCGGTATCCTGCAGGCCCACACTTCCAGGGAGACAATTAGTCCTCTCCCCCTTTATTTCTCTAAACTACAATGAAAAGGCAAACAGGACATTCTAAGGATGGACTCTAAGCCACAGACTTTAAGACCCCAGCAGGGAAAAAAAAAAAAAGATCCAAGCTGACATTTTGGGAAACAGTATGGAGGTTCCTCAAAACATTAAAGAGAGAATGGCGGTAGGATCCAGGAACCCCACATCTGGGTATTTATCCAAAGGGGAGGAAATCAGTCTCTTGAAGAGATATCTGCCCCCCGTGTTTACTGCAGCATTTTTCACAACAGCCACGATGTGAAAACAACCTACGTGTCCATCGATGGGTGAATAAGTAAGGAAAATGTGCTGCATAGAGAACATATATAAACAATGCAGTATTACTCAGCCTTTCACAAGAAGGAAAGCCTGTCATTTACAACAACCTGGTGAACTTGGAAAACACCATGCCACGTGAGATAAGCCAGGCACAGAAAGACAAACACTGCACGATCGCACTAACCCGTGGAATCTAAAGAAGTTGAACTCGCAGAAGCAGAGAGTAGAATGCTGCTTGCCAGGGGCCGGGGTCGGGGGTTGGGGAAGTGGGGAGAGTTGGTCAAAGGTTACAAACATTCAGCTATGCAGGACGAATGACTCCTGGACTACAGTTAATAATACTGTATTGCAAACTTGAAATTTGCTAAGACAGTAGATCTTAAAAGTGTTCACCACGAAAAAAATAAATAAATGGTAATACGTGAGGGGATGGATGTGTTCATCAGCTTCACTGTGGTAATCACTTCACAATCAAAACATCACATTGGACACCATAAATATATACAATTTTTATTTGTCGATTATATCTCGGTAAAGCGGGCGGGGTTATTTTTCAAAGATCCAAGCTGAGACCAAGCTCAGTGCCTTATCTGACACTTTTTCTTTTTTCCCCTTTTTAGTATGTTTTTATTGATTTCAGAGAGAGGAGGGGAGAGGGAGAGATAGAAACATCAATGAGGAGAATCACTGACCGGCCGCCTCCTGCACACCCCTCACTGGGCATGTGCCCTGACCAGGAATTGAACCAGTGACACCCTGGTTCATGGGTTGATGCTCAACCACTGAGCCACACTGGCTGGACCCAACTTTTTCTTACCCACCACCCTCCCCTTCTCAGAAGAGAACGTGGACGCAAACAAGATGCACTGCTGTGGGCTAAGGAAGAAAGGGGGAGTCTTCGGCAAATAAAGCCTTCACCCCTCCTTCCACAGGCTGGAAGCTGCCTGACCACCTGACTCAACAAACTCCACGAGGAAGGCCCCTCGGCTCCATCTGCTCTGTGGGAGCAGAACTGGCCGGGCTGGCTCCTTGCGGGGCATCAGTGTGGAGCCTGTCCCGTCTCCCTGCTCCTCGAGCCACAGTCCAGTGAACTGGAGTTGCCATCGGCCTCGCAATGACTCCTGTTCTTTTCCATGACCCCTGTTTTAAAGCAGGACTGCTAGGTCTGCTCAAGTCTGGCCTCCCTTAGGGTCCCGGCTTGTTTATAGACAAAGACGCATAGAAGTGGCGTGGCCCACAGGTGGGCTGTTGTCTAGAAGAGCGAGACGTGAATGGGGTGAGGCCACCCGAAGATGTGCTCTGTGCTTGGCGGTGCCAATACCAGAGCAGGAGTCCATCACCTGACCGGCTCCCTGGGGCCTCGCCGTGGCCACGCAGCCCGTGAGAGAGCCTTGAAAGCAGCTGAAATAACCAGAAGGTGAGGCGACCTCTCCAAGCTCTGCTGGTTAAAGCTCCCGATGAGCTGAGGCCAAAAAAGACAAAGGCCCGCGGAGAGGGTGGTCTCTGGGGCAGGGCGCTGTTGTTTTGCCCCCAGATCAGAACCCGGTCAGAGCGCCTGCTGCACTAGGAGTCACGTGGGGGCTGCCAGGAGGGGGGCTGAGGCACCGGCTGCCCGAGGGTAGCTGAAATGACTCCCCCAGGCACTGCCTTCCACCCAGCCAGCTAAGTGACAGGTGTCAGCTGGGCGCTGTGCACACAGCAGTGACACAGGAAGCCTGCTGCCCTCCTGGCACTTTCCTGCTGGGGGGACGGGGGTGGGGACAGAAAACGAAACGAGTAAACACATGTGGTGGGCAGAACAATCAAAGCGGGAAGAGGACCAGGAGGGTGGGGGTGGGCAGGTGCATAGTGGCGAGGGAGGTCAGGGGCAACCTCACGGAGCAGGTGATCTTTCTAGAAGGATCTGTAGAAGACAAGGAAGGAAGCTGTGCAGCAGCAAGCAGGAAGGGCTGGCACCTGCCAGGGCAGCAAAGAAGCCACCGGAGGCATGAGAAATGGCAAGTGTTGGAGGAAGTCGGGGGAAGGCAGGTGTACCGAGTCGGGGGCTGGAGGGTTTGAGCCCCAGCAGCAGGTCCTGCCTGCATCCACCACGCCAGCCGCAGCTCTGCAGTGAAGGAGAATGTGACCCTAGCCGGTTTGGCTCAGTGGATAGAGCGTTGGCCTGCGGACTGAAGGGTCCCGGGTTGAAATCTGGTCAAGGGCACATGCATGGGTTGCAGGCTTGATCCCCAGTAGGGGGCGGGCAGGAGGCAGCCGATCAATGATTCTCTCTCATCATTGATGTTTATCTCTCTCCCTCTCCCTTCCTCTCTGAAATCAATAAAAATATATTTTATAAAAGAGAGAGAGAGAGAGAGAGAGAGAGGAGAGC